GCAGGGGCGGGAGCGGGGGCACACCCAGACGCCCCCAGGCGGGCCAGGCAGGACGCGGCGGCCAGCTGGGACCCGGGCCCCAGGGTCTCCCAGGAGGCTGAGGACCAGGTGAGGCAGGCGGGCGCGGGGTGGGGCGGGCCGGCGTGGGCGGCCCCTGGCTGAGCCCCTCCCCCACAGTTCCTGTCGCTGGATGACCTCCCCGACTCCCGGACCAGTGTGGACCTGAGGACTGGCCAGGCGCCCAATGTGAGTGTCGGGGCGGGGGCGGGGGCGCCGGGCCCCCCGAGAGGCTCACCCCGCCCGCCCCGCAGGAGGTCCTCATCATCCCGCTCCTGCCCATGGCCCTGGTGGCCCCCGATGAGGCTGAGAAGAGCAGCAGCCCCCTGTACAGGTGGGGTGCGGCGGGGCGGGGCGGGGCGGGGCCGGGCCCAGCCGGGGCTTACAGCGGGCTTTCCCCGCACAGCTGTCAGGGGGAGGTCCTGGCCAGCCGGAAGGACTTCAGGATGAACACGTGCACCCCGCACCCCAGAGGGGCCTTCATGTTGGAGCCAGTGGGCATGTCCCCTGAGGACGCCCTGCTGCCCCCGAGCCAGAAGGGTGAGGGTGCCACTGGGGACCGGCGGGGCCCCGCCGACCCTCGACCCGCCCCAGAGGCCCCAGGGAGCGAGGAGCAGCCCATGGACGTGTCCTTGTGTGGGGGCGTGGCCCCGGTGGCCAGCCTCTGCCAGGAGCCAGGTGAGCGGAGGCCTAGGCACCCCGACCTGCCACTCCCTGCCGGTGGATGGGGGCTTCCCCCTCCGGCTTCATCCGGCACCCCAGGAACAGGTCCCCGGAGCCTTGGGGCCGACTGTCCTTGCTGCCCGCCAGGCCCCTCTCCAGAAGGCTGGCTGCCCGGGGGCGGGGGCGAAGAGGAGGCCGAGGCCCCCCTGGAGTGCGAGGAGCCCAGGAGCCCGCCACAGGTGGGAGCCCACACCTGCAGCCACCAGTCCTGGCCCTGGGGGTGCTCTTGGCGCCCCCCAGGTGGCCGCTGCTCAAGTCTAGAGCGAGCCTTGAGGTCCCCACACGGTGGCGGTTCTGGGCTGGGCAGGAAGGCTGTGCCCCTGGTCTCCGGCCAGGGGCCCCAAGGTGCTGCCGGTTCCTGGGTGGGGGGGTGGGAGGTGGTCCCACCCTATGCAGAATTCGGGCCCCCCAGAGCAGCGGGTGGAGGGTCCCCGTTTCTCTGCAGAGTGAGCAGCCCCAGAGGTACGTGCTGAGGGAGAGAGCGGCAGCCCTGCCCCCGCCGCAGGTGAGTGGGAGCCCCCCCCCAAAGCCCGGCACGCCAGGCTTCGGGTCTGGGTTGGGGTCCGCGGGGGCGCCTGGGGGAGGAGGCGCCCTCCCAGCGCCCGCCTGCTTGTGCGCAGGACGCCCCAGACCCGTGGCAGAGCCTGGACCCCTTCGACTCCTTGGACTCGAAGCCCTTCAGGAAAGGTAAACGGGGAGCGGTCTGCGCCCCGCATGCGAGGGGCCGGCGCTGACAGGCCGCCGCCCCCAGGCAGGCCCTACTCTGTGCCCCCCTGCGCCGAGGAGGCCCCGGGGCAGAAGCGCAAGAGGAAGGGCGCCAGCAGGCTGCAGGACTTCCACCAGTGGTGCCTGGCCGCCTGTGAGTGGGGCGCCGGGCGCGGGCCGGGGCGCCCTCCCTGCCCGCGGGCTGGCTCCCGCTGACCCGGGCCTCCCGCAGATGCTGACCACGCTGACGGGAGGAGGCCCCGGAGGAAGGGCCCGTCCTTCGCAGGTGAGGCCGGGGCCTGGGCGCTCCCGGGGGGGCCGGGAGCGGCGGGACTGGGCCAGCTCTGGGCCTCGCGCAGACATGGAGGTCCTGTACTGGAGGCACGTGCGGGAGCAGCTGGAGGCGCTGCGGAGGCTGCAGAGGAGGGAGGCAAGTGCGGGGGCGGGGCGGGGCGCCCAGGGGGCGGGCGGGGCGCCCAGCGGGCGGCGCCCTCACAGACCTCTGGCAGGTGGCCGAGCGGTGGCTGCCCCGGGCCGAGGAGGGGCTGTGGCCCGTGGAGGACGAGCGCCTGGGGGACCCGTTGGAGGACCTGGGGGCAGCAGGTGAGTGTGCGCGGCGGCCGGCGAGGGGGCGGAGCGCCTTCGCCCGCTGACCAGCCTTCTGGCGGCCTCTGACCTCCCAGATGACCTCCTGGAGCCCGAGGAGTCCCCCGAGCCCGCGAGGATGAGGCCCGAGGCGG